AATCCTAATGTGCTGTTTGAGGGGGTTGCGTCTTGTCATTTTACGATTGGATGCCTCCTGCGTCTTTATGTAGAGCGTGATCATTTCACCGTATTTTGTCGGAAAAAGCACTCTAGCGCCCAAACGGTGCACGATACAGCAAAACATACAAAATTCCAGTCCAGAGGACTCTGCATTAAGGGTTATCCCTCATATAAAATATTTGTCTTTCCTATTTTTCGGAACAACTCCTATTCCTTTGTTACCCCTTTCCACCCGCTTGGGGGTGGTTGCCAGGATAACACATACGAACGAAGGTTCGTGAAAGGGTTTCGCTGTCACTCATGTACGTTCATTGTGCAACCATTGGACGGACAGCGAGCACTCCTGAGAAAAAGCGCAATCGACGACAAGCTGTTGTGTTGTGGTGCCCTCACTCACTGCAACCAGCAATTACCTCCCGACGATTCTGAATCGCCCTGGGAAAGTCTGCCATCCTCGCCGCTGGTGATGGCTCGGCTCCCCTTGGACAAGGTACGGTACGGCCGAGAATGAGCACAAAGGAGGTGGAGGCGTCATGGGTCGACACGCAGCCGCAATGTCCCGCGGCGCGCTGCTCTTGCTCCTGGTCCTGCACGCCCTGACACCGCCGACCACTGCTGTAACCACTCCTGACTCAGCCCACGATAATGTGCTCGCGTTCCTTGCCGACTTCCTCGCCCTCCAGTCGACCTCGATCGCGAAGTCCTACCTCAGCGGCATCACCTGCACATGGGGTAGGCTGGGGTGCGGCGAGCGCCAGTGGCGGCACCAGCTACGACAACTGTGCTCACTGATCCAACCTCTGGCGCAGGTGCGGCCGGCGTCCTACGCAGCTTCTCGGGGCGTGGCCTCGCGGCGCGGGTTGTTCACGTGAGCAGCTGGGCGGGCGGCAGCGGCCGCAACGAGACTGGTACTTGATGTAACACCTCAACGACACCGAGCGAGCGCCGAACCGAACACTCCTGTTCCTCCACAGGCCCCGTCGCAGCCGCAGCCCCTCCAGACTCATTTGACAACCCGCTCTTCCAGCGCGCACGGTCTCTTCAGCAGGCAGTGGAGGACCCTGGGCTCGGGGGCGCCGCCGGTGTTCTGGACCGCGCCGACGTGCTGTCGCTTCTTGGGACGTTGGGTGGTAGGGGCAGACCCGGTAGAGACGGGCAACCCAGCCTGGCTGAGGAGGTGTTCGTGGACATGTCGTGCCCCGGAACCCTCCGCCTACTGGCAGCGGTAAGTTAGTGCTGTTATGAGTGCTTGTTGTTTGCTTTTTCCATTTCTTGTGGACGTACGTAGTCGGTGGGACAGTGCTCTGGCTTAACTGGGTGTCGCGGATTCTCGACATGCAGTTGTTGAGAGTAGAGGGTACCTCTTTTACTGTACGACAGCATATGAATAACAAGGTCTACCTCCCCCCCTTCCCCCTTTCCCAATACCATAGGCGAGCGCCATGAACCTGTTCCGACGGCCCTTCCGGTGGGTCCTGCTGATCCCCGACGGCTGCCCGGTCGACCTCGAACTCTACACGCCGCGGGCGGCTCTGGTGGACAGTCAGGTGACGGTGGTGTGCGGGGGCGAGGACGTCCGCGCCGTAGAAGTGCACCGCGCAGGGCTGGGCGGCCCAGCCGCGGCAGACACGGTGGCCACGTGGGATGGCACCTCTACGGCGCTCGTCCGGCAGGATCGTGGGGACATCGCCAGAAACATGAAAGGAGTCACCGTGCGCACTGGCATCGCCGTGAGTGAGGAGAGACCACTGCGGGTTTGCGGGTCTCCGCCCCTCTCCCGACCCGTTTCTATGAGGAAGTTGCCCGATATGAGGGACAAGAAAAAGGTAGCACTGAGGAGGTGGCGTGGCTTTTTGCTTTTACAGGATTTCTGCAGACCTATCTTTGAACGCTTCATACTCGTCGATGTGACGGTCAGATCGCTTCAGTTGAGGTCATATTCTATTTCAGTCTCAATGACGGGTGCAATGATGCTTCGATCAAAGTGATCTGACGTCAAATCGAAGAGTGAGAGACGTCTAAAGATAGGTCTGCAGAAATTCTGAAAAAGCACATTCGCCTTTGTTCGTCAGTCCTAAACAGATTCGCCCTCGTTCGTCCGTCCTAAACAGATTCGCCAGTGTTGCACGGATGCGTCGCAGTGCGTTCTGCTTTGTTTAGGGACGGCGCTACGCCACGCCACCTCCTCAGCGCTACCTTTTTTTGTTCCTCTTATCGGGCAACTTCCTCATTCCCTGCCCTTGCATATTGCTTATATATGCAATGCAGCTGCTGGATTCCAACACCTCTATCAACCACCTGACCGACGGCAGGGAGAAGCAGTACGACCAGCTGACAAAGACCACCTTCAGCATGCTTCTGCAGGCGTACGAGCTGATGAACGCCACGTGAGTAGAGGGCCCCCGAGGCTGGCCCGTGACCCACAGCAACAAAAATATCAAAGTGTCTCGGATCGAGATGACCCATCCACGAGCATTCTAAAACCGCTACGATCGGCCCGAACGAACCCCAGGGAGCACTCGCTCAGGGTCTTTGCGTTTTAACATGGGTTTTATATGGAAGTTCTGGCGTAAATTTAAATACCGACCCATTAGCGTCAACAAACCACCATGGAGCAATAAAATCATGAGATTTGTAAGCTACGTTAGAAACTAATTCCAGCAATGTACGGTTCGCTACTGTAGCACCTATAGGTGGTGTAGTACCCAGATTTGCTATGTCTCTTATAAATCTCGATAGTTTTAAAAATAAGGTTAAGTGCAGAGTTAAGCAAATCCTAGTGGTACTGGGTAATACAGTGACGAACGTAACATAGATGGATTCTGTTTTCAACGTAGATTATGAATTTCATTGGCTGAGCTTGCGAAGCCTTTGCTGTGATGTGGGGTGCAGAGTACTCTTTGGTCGTGTGTCTTTCTGTCTGTCTGTGTCTGTCTGTACTGGCCCACGTTTCTCTCAGACGGTAACTTCAATTGACTTCAAACTGCGCACGAAGCTTCAGTATAAGTCGAGACGTAACGAGTTATTAGGTTTAGAAGTTTGATATAAGATGTTTGAAATAAACGATCGTTTAATTTGAATTCGTTGTTTGGTGGCGGTAGGTTGGTAGCACGGCGCTCGAGGGGAGCGGAAGCGCAAGTGGCTCCTGCGCTCACCTGAAGACTTTGATACCTTCTCAGCAGTTATTAAAATGTCAGATAGTCAAACCGAGTGTTTTAGTTTTAGTTTTAAAGTTGCGGAACTTAGCCTGCGAAGTTTCGCGACTGTCCGATGAGAAGGAACGAAAGTGATATTTGGAATGGTTTACGTGTTTACTTACGGAAGTTGGAGGGGATGGGGGAAGTGATTCGGGAGAAATGTGCAAAGGTAACTGTTGTTTCGGGTTCATCTTGAAAAAAGAAAACGAAAATATTTTATGCCCAAAGATGGTCGGAATCGAGATGGTAGAGTTATGTTCAAATGTTCAATAAAGTGTTTAATCGCCCCTGGCGGCCAAACGGTGCGTCGGTCGGAGGTCAATTCTGACGACAGTTTTCATCCCCAACCCACAGGGTTAGGCTCGCCGAGACGAACAAAACGCATCTCTCGAACGTTCAATTTGGACCAATTTGGCCTTGGCAATCCACCCATCGGGCTAATAACTTCTCCATTTCGACTCTGATCGGCTCTGAGCATAAGACATTTTATTTTTAATTTTAGAAGAGAAATTTTAATCTGGGATTACATTTTAAATTTGATAACTTTTTAAAAATCCAGATACTTCATTGGAAGACAAAATAATGGTACTGACTCGTAGAATGACTAGAAGTGATTTAATTGTGCATAAAGACATCTTAAAGGTTTCTTAAACTTACAACTTATTTTCTTAACGGCAATAATGTGCTTGCAGGGGACCGAACAATATTAGAGCCACAGTCGCAACTTAGTGTAGGATAAGCCGTTAAAAACCAGAACGAGATATATGATTCTCTTACGTTGACTAGGTTTTTCTAGAGCCATATTATTTCTAATGATACTGAAATAAAATGGCGAGAGAATTTAAATTACTTTCTATGATAAGATATATTACAGAACTTTCAATTAATAAACTACAATGACTCGTTATCTTCAAAACGCCTCAGAGGGATCAGGTGAAAGTGAATCGAAGAATGAAAAATTATATTTTGAGTATATGAGGTGTTACACTACATTTACAGATTCAAATTAATATTATTTTATCTAATTCCACTTCACGCAGAGGCAAGAAGTGAGGGTATTGTATAGAATTTATCTAGCTGATTGTGACAAGGGTTTGCTATACCCAGAGTTATACGATATTTGTTTGTCCTTCTGTTTGTTCCATTGTAAGTTGAATCTGCTAACAGCATTCATTTGTAGAATTCAAAAGTCATCACACTCCCACTTCCAATTACTGAGAACTAAAAATGTCATCGGAAAATCTAAAACCAAACTTGTTTTGGTCATTTTTAAATTTTTCAGTGCCCCCCCCCCCTTCCCCCCCTTTTCCTGTTCTTCCCTGGCCTTCCATCAATGTACATTACTATTACTACTGTATATTCCTTTAACCGTTACATTTGAGAATGTTAGCACACTAACGACTAAAGCTCAGCCACTACGGGCTGCTGCACGTACTTCTACGTATAATTTGCAAGGATGTTTCTTTGGGGCTAACCCTCGCGCCTGTGAGGTAGGCAGCATCTGGAGGCTACACACTGCAGTGCAACGGGACTGCCTCTCACAGGCGAGTCCCTCGGGTGTAACGCCATGAGCTGGCCTGGACTTCAGCCCGGATAACTTGAGCCCGAACTGGCACCCGATATGAGCCCGACATTTGCCCAGCCTGACGAGTTGGAACCCAGGCCACTTCTTGGTGTGCACATGTCGGGCATTGGTTGGGCTACAGGAGTCCAGGCTCAGACCCGGGTTTGGCCCATGTCCTTATTCCCACTCCCTCGAGGAGACGGTGACGTGGACAACGATTTTCCCGGCTCGTGTCTCTCTCGTTTGCCTCAGTATTTCGCTACACGTCACCAACTCTCACGGCTACATCCGTAACGGAAAGTACGATGGGTTGCTGGGGGACCTGTTCAACGGGCTGGTGGAGACTGGCGGCACCGTCATGCTGCCTGTCGCCTTCCGGATGATGGCCATCACCTACCTGGGCATCAACATCCCGATGCGGTGCGCAGCCTAAGATCGCCTTAGACCTTAGATGCGGTGACAAACGAAATAAAGAGCGTCCTCAGTAACACGACTTCTCACTGAACGGCAAATGGACAGACGGAATTTTCAGATGACTTTGCAAATAAACTGGTAAACCAAAGCTGTGAATTAACACCTTTCCAGCTTTGTTAAAGTCAAAAGGCGTTAACGTTTTAGTTTTTCCCAAATATTTCCTGATTAAGCAAACCCAGGTTTGTTGAACTTACATTTTCGTATTCAGGTCAAAATTCAGCTTCGATCAAGCCCACATGTGATAGTGTTCCAATCCCAAATGAAAGACATTTAGTAGATTCCTGAGGGTCGGTTACTTCTTCCACCATTCTTTAGACACAAATCACATGTAGGCTCGTTCAAAGCGGTATTTTGAGCTGAATGCGAAAATATTAGTCCTACAAACCTTGGTTTGCTTCAGTAGAAAATATTTCGTAAAAACTAAAACGTTAACAGCTTCAGAACGTAATGCCTTTCAAGGTGTGATTTCACACCGTTGTTTGACTGGTGATATTTTTTGCCTTTCCGATTCAATATTGGTCTTCTCTCGCGACCGGTGTGATTCAGCGCCGTGACGGTGTTCCGCCAACCGCCGCTGGCCTACACGGACAACGTGTTCTGGTTGCCGTTCCCTGACTCGCTGTGGGCCGCGGCGCTGAGCCTCGTGGCGCTGTGCTGCGTCCTCGCCGTCCTGGCACTGTACCTCGAGCCGAACTCGGAAAGCGGCGACGGCGCCTGCGGCGGGTCGGGTGACTCTCGCGCCAGCCTGAGAGTAGCGCGGCGGCCGCAGGGCGCGGGCAGGGGCGGCTACAAGCAGCCGCTGCGCGCCTCGCTGTCGGACGTCTTCCTGCTGGCCTTCGGCGCTATCGCCCAGCAGGGTGAGGGAGGACCCCGCTTGAAAGCTGGTTGCGCCTAGCTTGCGGACCGTCCTGTCCTACCTCTCCCCTTTCCTCGCAGGTTCGCCGGTCGAGGCCCGTGGTGTGGCGTCGCGCCTCGTCACCTTCCTGCTGTTCCTCGCCGTGCTGCTGCTCTATACGTGCTACTCGGCCTCCATCGTGGTGCTGCTGCAGAGCTCGTCCAGCTCCATCCGCACACTGCGAGACGTGTGGAAGTCTCGCCTGACTGTTGGCGTCGAGAATATGCCCTACAACGTTTACTTCATCACTGTAATTTTTTTAGAGCAATGGAATGATTTCGATGCTATAGATCAAGAGACTACAGAGAGGGGACAGGAAGATCTCTGCGTAGCGTGACGTAGCGGAACGCCGTCTGTTGTGCTAGAAGGCGTTGGCTGATCGGCGCGGCGCCCGGCTCCCGGGGCGCTCTGCGGACCCCTGCGCTCGCCGTTCAACTCTGGCTAGCCTTTTGACGCAACTTTTGGTACCACGGCCATCGGTAGACCCTCCCCTACTATTCTAGACCAAAGCGGGGTCTATGCGAAAAATATTGAGGCGGCTAGATGTCTCAACGTGCGGCAACGGGGCAGAGAGCTTCCCGTCCCCTCTCTTGTATAGATGTCCAAAAGCGATTTCAACAATTTATTGCATCGTGAGGGAGCAAACATAAAATTGTACCTCTAAATTAATATTTGATTGCAACCGTTTTCACATTGCTGCAGCAATAAAAATAGTATTGGACTTTAAAAGCAGCATTTTAGTTGAATAACTGATTTAT